ACCTCCATCATGACGTCTGTCCAGCGGGCCAAACATGAGCAGTGCACCGGGTCATAACACTGCTTGCTTAGTTTTAGCCCCATACCCCTCAACCCCACCCTGTCATGACAGAGGGCTGGTGCAGCCAACTCTGAGTGGGAAGTGGGCAGCTAGCACTGTTCCTCCTCACCACTGCTGTTGGGCCAGCTCCTGCACCCATCCCTGAACCAGACCAGCTGGAACTCAGTTTGGGCTCCCCACAAAATAGGGCATTAGGTACGTTCCTAAGTTGCCTAACCCTCAGTCCGGCCCTGTCTGTACCCTGTGCTCAGCACCCTGGGCTGAGTGTATCGAAGGGGAAAAAGTGTTCCTTTTGCTCTGCCACTGTGATGGTACTGTGGTTAGTAAACAGGCTGCCAGCCACCCACAACAGGTGGCTGTGGACAAAAGAGAGGCCCAGAAAATCAAGCTTCTGAAAAATGGGCTCAGGACAGTGGGGGCTCAATCCGCAGCCACTGACACAGGCCAGGCCCTATCTCTGGCAGAAGCGTGGAGACCTCAGAAGTTCCAGTCAGCAGAATCAATGCAGTTAAACCCCCCAAAACTCCCATCATTTTCCTACCAACCAAAGCACTGCGACAGGGGGCTACTTGCCAATGGGCGTGCTGCAGTCAGGGCACCCCCTTCATTCCTCAGGGGTCCCAAGAATCGCTGGAGTCACAGAGGAATCAGTTTCCTGCCAATGCTCCCTCTTCCCATCATAGCATAGGTCATGGTGGCTATTTTGGAGCTGGGAGCACGCATTTAACAGGCAGCCATTTTAGGACAGGTCCTGGCACTGCCTCCTCAGCAACCATCTTACAGTCTTCCCAGTGGCGTCCAATGGAAAAAACATGACGCGAGGAAATGTGGGCATAGAGGCTATTTCTCTTTCGCTTCCCTCTCCTCCTGTCTGGAGCCCAGGTGAGGCAGGAAAAAGGACTAAAAAGTACAGGGACAGATCCCCACATAGTCATAGAAGAGAGAACTCATCTGAGGAGCTGTTTTCCACCATCGCTGCCTCCTCCTCCTCTCCCTATGAGGTGATCAGACCCAGGGGAAGACATAAGGGTAGAAAGCATAGGCACAGGTGTTTTGCCTTGGACTCTTATGACGCCAAATCCTCAGCCTTCTCTCCTGCTAGTCCTCCTCCTATGTGAAGTAGTGGTCACAAATGCAGACATCAAGCAAAGAAATCCTTTATGTCTAGACCAGGGGTGGGCAAACATTTTGGCCTGAGGGCCACATCTGGGTATGGAAATTGTATGGTGGGCCATGAATGCTCACCAAATTGGGGGTTGGGGTGTAGGCTCTGGGGTGGGACCAGATATGAGGAGTTCAGAGTGCGGCAGGGGGCTCCAGGCTCGGGCAGGGGGTTGGGATGCAGGAGGGGGTGAGGGCTCCAGCTGGAGGTGTGGGTTCTGGGGTAGGGCTGAGGATGAGGGGCTTGGGGTGCAGGAGAGGGATCAGGGCTGGGGCAGGGGGCTGGGGTGTAGGAGGAGGTCAGGTGTGCAGGCTCCAGGTGGCACTTACCACAAGCAGCTCCCAGAAGCAGTGGCATGTCCCCCCTCCGGCTCCTATGTGGAGGTGCAGCACCCGCCAGGTGGCTCTGCGTGATGCCGTCTGCAGGTGCCACCTCTGCAGTGGCCAATGGGAGCTGAGGGGGTGGCGCTTCGGGTGGGTGCAGCATGCAGAGCCCCATGGCTGCCCCTTTGTGTAGGAGCCAGAGTGAGGACATGCTGCTGCTTTCGGGAGCTGTGCGGAGCGGGGCAAGCCCCCGACTCCGCTCCCTGGCTGGAGCAAGGAAAGCCCCTGACCCAGCTCCCCGGTGGGAGCTCGAGGGCCAGAGTAAAAGGTCTGACGGGCTGGACAGGGCCCACAAGACCGTAGTTTGCCCACCCCTGGTCTAGACACTCCACCCTCTTCCTCAGAACAGGATATTCTTTCACAATCCAAAGTGGAGGAAACCCAAGAGACTCATCAAGAACTCTTGCTCCCTGCACAGTTTTTCCACATATATTCTGAGAAAGGCAGTTACTTTCTTTGGTATCTCCCCTAAGCTTTCAGCCAAGAAGGTTGAAAAAGAGGGTGGGGATAAGGAGGTCAAAGGGACAGAAAACACTTGAAAATATTTTCCAGCGAGCTGTAAAACTCACCCTTATGTACCCATCCCTGCTGTCCTGCTTAAGGCTGCAAAGAGGAATGAGAAAACCCAGGAAGGCCAAGCATCAGATCAAATGAGCCAAAAAATTCTATAACATCCATCACTCGAAAGCATTCTTGATTGCTTTTCCTCAAATGGATGCAGCCTTGTCAACCCTTGTTAAGGGGACTGTACTTCCCATTGAAAGATATCATTGACAGAAGGGTGGAATCAGCCCTCCGCAGGGGGCTATGAAAATGCGTCAGCAATCCTCAGAGCTTTAGTGTTGGCCGCTTTTTTATTTTTTGAGAGAGCAGCACTTGCTTATACTGAGTCTCTGCTATCTGACATCCCCCAAAACTGAAAAGAACCAAAGGGTTGGAGTCCTCTTACAGAAAATGTCTAATAGGTTAGGGGACTGAAAGGTTACAGGCCCTCCATGGCAAGATATATTAAGTGGGGAATCTCTTAGGCATATAAAGCCAAGGGAGAAATGCCTCCATTCCAGATTAGAGGCCATTCCACAAGGGCACTGGCAGGCTACATGGGCCAACAGGTCCAATACACCATATGAACAAATTTGCAGGGCCGCAACTTGGCCATCACTGCGTATGTTCTCTAAATTGTATAAGAACGATAGACTTCAGTGAGATGAAGAAGCCTTCAGAAGCAGGGTTCTGCAAGGTGTAGCTCACTTGTAGTCCACCCAACAATTGATAGTGACTGGAAGTGAGGGTGGATACGGCTACAAAAATCACATCACTACTGAACTTATGGACCCATACCCCAGAGTAAAAATGACAAAATCTGTCTGACCTGAACATTTCTGTTTTGGTAGGAGGATGGGTCCATAAATTCATCCCATCCTGTACTTTTCATCTCCTTTTTTTGGGAGATTAATTTTCAATAGTGTTTCATGATGGAAAACTGTGTTCTTATATTTAATTGATGTGCTGAAGGACAATTACTACTTCTTAGTGTTGGGCAGTGTTATCTGTTAATGCATTTTGAAACAGTGTTTTATTCATGTATGTAGTTACCAGTGTCAAAGTTAGACTCAGGACTCGTAGTTTGTCAGACCACTCTGTTTTATTAGCACAGCGCTCTGCTAATACATTCAGATAATGTGAGCCCCCATGCAAGATTCAAACAGTCTTATTTATACAGATAAAAGGGTGCGAACTAAACAAAGGGACAGAGAGAGCAAAATTGTAAAATTTGCCTGGGGCACAATATGCATCTCCTGCTTCCTTATTAACTCTTATCGATCTAAAGCTAATGTTTCACCAATCGCCCTTAAATGGAGCAATTGATTAACAGTTAATGTCTGCTTTCTTGACACCTGGATTGCAGCATTTCTCATTTCTACTTAAAGGTACATACAGCATTCTTTAATTCATTCTATTTCTTTAATATAATTCATTTCACTTTCACACCAGTTTTGGAAGCGACTCTGTGGAGGGGCTCTTCAATGGGAGGAGTTATCTGGAGAGTCAGCCTAGACAATCAAAAACATCTGCCTCTGCCTCCTGCAGTATGAGGGGACTGAAAAATCCATCCCTACTGAAGTTATGGACCCCTCCCCCTACCAGAATGATAATTTTCAGGTGAGTGAGATAAATTTCCTTATAAATGGGATCATGTAATTAAAGACTGTATTATATGTTTCACAATTTGAGCTCATTGCGTTTGGAACTCTGTATTGATGTTAAAACATGCTTTACTTTTTCATGTTACTGTTTTGTGTATTCTTGCTCGTTCTCATTGTGTTCATTCTTAAAATCTGCTTTCCTCTCAACAGTCAAAGACTGACAGTAAATGTTTTGGTTTCACAGATGGTGAGTATTGTGTGTCAGAATATTCAGTATTTGGAAACCTGGTATCTGAAATTTTTTGTTGTTGCGTCCAGATTAGTTGAGCCTCCACCCCTTTATTAAAGTAATAGGTATTCTGGGGGTTTCCTCCCCCAATAACTCTATTGACATCTCTTATCTGTCCTATAGGATGTTTATATTGATCATATGGTCACCTGTTCAGCTCCTCTCAGATCCACTCTTTATAAAACATTAGCTCCTTTAGAGTTCTGCATGGCACTGAGCATTTATGCCATGTGTCAAACTCTCTCCATGCCAACTGAAAGACTCACCAGAATTCTTACTGGATTGAGCCCAGATGTTCAGTTCCCATGCTCTAGATCGAACACACAGCCTCTAATCAGCATATGAGGACACAACAGGTACAGTATGATTAGCAGCACTTGTTCTCATTAAAAAACGTTCAGTGTACTGAAAAGGTATAATTGTATCAGATCAGCTGTGCTTATATTTTAATATAGTATTCTTCTAAAAAGTCTTAGTCACCTGTATATTTGCTTTTCTGCCTCAACTGTTGCATCTCCTGTGCTTCTTATAACTTAGAGGAGGAAAAGATGCAGCTATTGCATTGCATAATGCAAATTGATCATATTCCTTTTCAATTAATAATGATGTAATTTAGCCAACGTGTTTAGGACATGGCACTAAAACCACTGCTAGCATGGGAAGAAAGATAAAGTTTTCTCTGTAAATGGAAGCAACGGGATTAAAGGGATAGGAAAAAAGTGATATACAATAGGCTTTTGTTTGGATTCCGGCAGGAGGTTTCTGTAGCAATGTGTTTTCAAACATGAACCACTTCCTTCTACTACTTGCTGGGGGAAGGGGTGAGTCATAGTACACCAGTAAGTAGCCATCTCGCCTTAACTGCTGAATTGTAGCTTTAAAAGGAAGTGACATGTGGTGGGGAGAGACGTCATCTGAGAACCACATTTTTTTTTTTTTTTTTATTGGACCACCCCAGGGTGGAGTCTGGCTTTCTTTCCAGTGTTGGCTGACTTACAGCTCATGCAAACTAGTGGCAATTTCTGAGTCTCAGCCTCTCTCTCCCTTTCTGTCTCTGGTTTCTAAGCACACATGTCAAGCTCTGGCAGGCTCAAGGTATGTGATCTGATATTATTCATGCTACTTCTAAAGAACTTTACATTTGCTTCTTCTTTACTTGGCTAGATTTCTTTTAAAAAAGCATGAAGACATTGAGTGCAGAGAGTCAAAGGACAGAAAGAAGCAGGCTACAATTAAGTGTTTATGTGAGCAGCATGTGGTTAGAGGTGAGCAGCAGGTTTGCAGGCTCATAGGAAAGAACTACTCTGATCATTTTTCCTTTTCTTTTCTCCATTTGTGCGGTACGTTGGTTTCAATATTTTTACTATATTTAATCATTTTGCTTGAAAAAGCTGAAGCTGACTAGAATTTTCCTCTTACATATTGGCTCCCTTTGTGCCATGCAACATGCTCTTTCTTTTCTCCTTAGTGTTTCCATGGAAACTACAAATACCATGGACCTTGCCCTAAATATAAATATCTAGATTTCTTTCACAATTTTGCATTTGTTGTACGTTTTGGATTGATATTTGCTAGGATGCAGCATGCAATTTGTTGTCTCCCCTCCACTTTCATTTTGGTTTTCCCCTATCACAATAGAGGAGGTTAGAGGAGGGGGGCAGGGAGGGATAGTGTTGCCTTGGAAACAGACATTTGTGACCATCTATTCACAGCTGCTTTCATGGAGATGCTTTCTACATCAAGAGGACTGTATCATGCCTAGATAATTAGCTGTTTGAATAAAATGTAGGTATGTATTGAAATAAATGAAGTGTATTCGTTTTCCCATTGTACCTAGAAGAATTCCATAAGCTATAACAATCTGAGAGCAATGTTTAGAAATAATGAAGAAGAGGCTGTGCTGAATATTTGTTTTAAAGTTTGGTTGGCTTTTTTGTTTTAAACCTGTGGTTTTCTGTAAAAATGAATATATTCAGCCTATCAACAGTAATAAGAGTAGGTCAACTTTGCCTGCACAACACTGCATTGGTTAGTCCAAATATTTACTATAGAGCAGAGATTGTCAAACTGGTCTGTGAGCTCCATTCAGGTGGTGCATGGTTAGTTCCCTCTACGGTGCATGCCTGGGCGGTCGCACATGAGAGAATGAAGGGCCACCCACCTAATTAGTGGAGCTGCACAGGTGTGGCTCCAGTAATTAGGTGCCTGGACCCTGGAGAAGACGCACATGTAAGGTGAGGTGGTGGCCTTGGGGGGGATTAGGGGGTAGGTGGGAGGGGGAGTGGGGTGGAAAAGGGGGTGGGGATTTGGGATGTTCAGGGCTGTGGCAGCCAGAGAAAGGCGACTTTCCCCAGTTGCAGGGCTGCGGCTGCCGGGAGGGAGACGGCCCCTCCTTCCCAGCCTCAGCTCTGTGGCGGGAGAGAGCTCCTCATTCCCAGCCCCAGTGGGGGAGAGAGGGTACATCCATTGCATTAGAAAGATAAGACTACTGATATTAAAATTTGAGTTATGTGCTTTTATTTGTAGAACAAAAAAAGTTAATTATTATTAAGTTTTTTTATATAGCGCTTTTATCCAAAGTGCTTTACAATAGTTAGCTATGGTACAAACAACATTTGGAAAGATCATCAAGTGGTCCTCTGAGACCCTCAGCAATTTTCAAGTGGTCCGCAAAAAAAAGTTTGAGAACCACTGCTATAGAGCATTGTTCAGCTGTGAAATATTCCATAAGAGGATTTGATTCAACAAGTGAGTGTTTACCCATGTGTTACAAAACAGTAAATGAGGATGTGTTCCATTCTGACCAGAACTTTATATTCTGTGCATTTGTTTTTTGTCTAGTCCCATATTTATTTGTCTTGCATTTCCAAGACCTGTACATGCTTAATAAGATGATTTATGTACTTCTAAGACCGTGATGCAACTAATGCTGGCAGTTATACCAAGGGAACATAACCTCACTCTGGAGTGATAATCATTGCACCCCAAACTGAATATCACTTGCAAAAGAAAAAATTAAGAGACCAAGAACCAAACTCTCTTCTCTTTGACACCAGAGCAAGCCCACTGACTTCCATGTGCTTACTCCAATGTAACTGAGAAGAAAATTTGGCTTCAGGTGCCTATGGTTTCTGTGTATATTCCTTACTCTGATACATAACTAAGATCCAAAATCATGCTGTTTTTCTTATATCTTTAAAATTCAGGTGTGTGCACTTACATCGTTAATCACATTTTAAAAACTGCAATAAATATGCAGGAAAAGTGAGACTACAGGTACAATGCTCTGCAAAAAGGGACATGCATAATCTTTAGTGATACTCCAGCATGGGAAGAGGTTGGAATTCAGCCACTGGCTCATAGGGAATATCACATTGTAAAGTATGCAGTGACCTGAACAGAGAAAAAGTATTCCAGTTGGCTGGTGGGTGGGATTGCTCTTTGTGAATGTACAGCTCAGCTAAAACTGTTGTCCAGGTTTTTAATAATCACTAGTAGCTGACTAATGGGTATAATTTGTAGAATCATGTATGTGTGGGGGAAAAAAGCCAAAAATTGCCGAGAACTTAAAAATTGCGTGGTGACAGATAGTGAATCCAAGTGATAATTCAGCCTGATGATATTCTGAACAAAAAGAGGGTAAAGAACTCTCAACTGTGCTTTTAGCTGTTTCCATACCTTCACACTGACGCAACAGACAGGCTAGCCTTCAGAGCCATATTTGGAGTTATTACGTAGGCTGGTTTGTGTTGATTTGTGTTTGGGGATGTTGTGCTAAGAGACTTGTGTTGATTTGTGTGGATGGCAGTTGGGCCATAATCCACCATCTGTGCAGTCTCCCTCATACAACCAATGAAAATGATGCATGCAAATTAGCTGTAGGGTGAGATTGGTGACTACTTGAGTTACCTGTGATATCACAATGGTCTAAGACTTTCAGCATGGCATAGATACATGCCTTACTGTAGCTGTACACATCATGGGAGTAATCTGTAAAATTCAAAATGGCTGAGAACTTTAAAAATGGATGGTAACAGACTGTGAAACCCAGTGAAGATTCAGCCTGCTGACATTCTGAACAAAAAGAGCTCTCAGTCAAGCTTGTAGCTCCTTTCATTGCTTCACACCGACTAAATAGACATTCTAGGCTTCAGAGGAACACATAGAATATCATTATAAAGATATTTTCCATCTGTAGAATCTCCCAAGTGTTTCATAAAAAAGCTGTAAGGGATTGTATTTTATAGGTGTGGAAACTGAGGCACAGAGAGGTCATAGGTGCTGACTCTGTGGGTGCTCTGGAGCACCCACGGGAAAAAATTAGTGGGTGCTCTGCACCCACTGGCAGCCAAGCTCCCCTCACCCCCCGCCCCACTTCCTCTTCCCCCCCCAAGCGCGCCGCGTCCCCACTCCTCCACCTACCTCCCAGTGCTTCCAGCCTGGCCGCCGCCAAACAACTGTTTGGCAGCGCTAGCACACTCTGGGAAGTGGGGGAGGAGCGGGAACATGGCGTGCTCAGGGGAGGAGGTGGGGCCGAGGCGAGGATTTGGGGAAGAAGTTGGAATAGGGGCAGGGAAGGGGTGGGAAGAGGCGGGGCAGGGCAGGGCCTTGTGGAAGGGGTGGAGTGGGGGCGGGGGCAGAGGGGGGTTCGAGCACCCACGTGAAAGAGGGAAAGTCGGTGCCTATGAGAGAGGTGAAGTTACTTGCCCAGTGTATCCAGATCAGATCAGAGGCAGTCAGTAACAAAAGTTTCCTGATTCCCACTTGAGTGCCTCATCCACTACACTACACTACACCACATTCCCTCCTACTGACTATATTAAATATTTTCCAGGCTACTAGATATAGAATTCAGTTCTTGTCAATCATATCGCTTTGTATCATAGTCACAAAGTCCTATTCAGCAACAAATGTGTGTCTGGCTGGGACCTCTCCTTCCACTGTACTGTGCAAAGACCAGGAGTTCTTATAGAATTAGCCTGGCTTTTTGCTTAAAAGAAATAAGTCATGGGAGGGTGGGGGCAATTGGGTAGTCTCTCTCATCTCTGATGAAGGGCAGCTGATTTGCGAGTCCGGGCTCTCCTACCTATGATCACATGCCTGAAATGTTGGCTGTTTCCCCATCCCCAGTTGCAGTTGTGAAGGAAGGGGTCACCCATTTGTGGGAGCTCCCTCTTCTTCTGACCCTTGAGATCACTGTTCTCCAGGAACAGTGGAACACTTCAGCATTACAGGAGCTACCTGTTCTTTCTTTTCTATGGCTGATGCTCACAGCTCATAAAGGTGTTTTCAGGTGGGAGACAGTCTTCAGGCCTCTTTTTAGATGACTTTCAATCGGGAAGGGAAAAACCTACCTTATGCTGAGCTATAGGGAAGAACTGAGCATGATCAGTGCCTTCTGCAATGCTTTCAAGCAGGGGGAAACCGACCCAGTTCTGCTTTCTGGTCTAGGGGCGAAGGTATTGCATAAAGAACAGGAGTACTTGTGGCACCTTAGAGACTAACAAATTTATTAGAGCATAAGCTTTCGTGGACTACAGCCCACTTCTTCGGATGCATACAGAGTGGAATAAATATTGAGGAGATATATATACACACATACAGAGAGCATAAACAGGTGGCAGTTGTCTTACCAACTCTGAGAGGCCAATTAAGTAAGAGAAGGTATTGCATAAGGATTTCTGTAGGCTGTTGTCCGACTGAAGCACGTCTTTGGAATATGAGGCAAGCTTTCCAGTTTAGGAGTATTATAGAGCTTCTAGGGTGCTGCGCCCACTGAGGTAATCTGTGCTTGCGCAAAGCCCTTAAATAGAGTATGGTTACTGTGGGAAAAGTGTATCCCCATTGGAAATAGAAATAGAAATGTGGAGTGACCATTGTCTGTCGGTCATGTCGTACCACTTTACATTTCTCAGTGCATTACAGGTTGCGATGTCATAGTAGGGTAGGGATTCTGTCACAGGTATCTTTGATGACAATCACGTGGCTGGCCTGGGCCCTACTGGGGGGAGAAGGATGTAGTCTCACATAATGTGCCCTGGTTTTACTGCTTGACATTAGAGGCAAGGTAGAACACTCTGTGCAGCACTCCCTGA